GAAGAGGAAATAGGATAAGAAAAAACTTGATTCTTTTGATGTTTCTATTCAGTCACTGCAGATGGAACTAAAGKGGAATGAGTATCTTTAAAAAGGATGAAAATGTGGGTTTCTGCAATGTGACAAATATAGTATGTTGTTTTGTGTGTGTGTGCATGTGCAAAAGCAATTTAATACAAGGCTTCATACCCAAATTCATAGCAGTCATTTATTCAAGTAAAATATCCTTTCAGAAGACATAAAAATAACATTGCATTTCCACATTAACTGGAAGGGATTTATTTGTTAAAATTACCATGCAAAAAATCTTTTCCACTATTCTCATTGATAAACTAAAATGGATTGTTACCTGTAATTTGATGAGTCGTCAACTTTGGAAATTGGCATTAATTTCGTTTGTTGTGACAAGTGATACTGGTGTGAAAGAGGTCTCAAGAATACCAAGTACTTCTAAGTAGTTAGTCATTGAAACTTAATAATGGTGGGGGAAACTAGGGATTATAAAATAGGTACGTGATGTACCTTGTTTAAAATTTAAAGCTTCTCTCAGCTAATCAATGTAAAACGCTTAAACTAAAAATAAGCRATTGGCTTTTCTGTTGAGAAAAGCCAATTGCTTCCTGTCAATAGCTATGTATGCTTAGGGATAGAAATAATATTTAGAGTTCCTGAGTTTCTTGATAYACTGAGCTCGCATATTGCTTCTGAAATTGTTTAACCAAAAAGGGCAATAATAAAGTTTTAGGGATGAGGTGCTTCCTCCTTGACTTGGTTGTTCAGTATTACTAAAATATGCTAAATTACTAAATTAACTTCATATTAAGAAACATGGCCATAAATGTTTGCTTTTCTCTTCCATGAGTCAGAGTATATATCTACAAAACCATAAGGTGCTTGCTGTTATGTTGCCTTTGCTAAATTCTCTTCTTTCTGTGTGGCATGCAATCTTCTGTTGTCGTTTGGAAATCGCACATTGCTTGTCGTCAGTCCTGTATTTTGCAGTGCCCATGTGTTCAGATGTTGGTATAGCGGTGCTCTCTATCTGGTGGGAGGCTTTGTGATGTTTTCTTAGCTTGTGTAGAAAGGCTGACTAGCACCCGGGTGATAATGAGGCTTTTTGCAATGTGTTAATTAAATTTTATAAATGCATGTTGAGTAGATCCAGTGGAACCGGTTTTTGAAGTAAAATACAAACACTACACACTCAGACTTCCTCCATAAACAAATGATTGTGATTCATCTTGCAGTGTTTCATGAACTGTACATTTCTTTCCTGGTTAGTTGTCTGTTCATTGAACCTGGGTTGGCTTGCTCACTCTCCATTTCATGCTACATACATTTCATGTATTTAACAGGTACTAAAATGATGTATAAAATAAATTTCAATTTTTGTTTCTTCTTTGAAGATCCCTTGTAAGGTGATACTRAGATTCTCAAGAGCGAACAATTTGTTAAACACAAGGGTGGAGTTGATAAAACTTCACTAGCAGAGATGCATATTTTCATATTTGGCACCAGTGTTTTCTACTTGATGGCAATCTAMAAATATTTACATACTGCAAAAGTAAATGAGTTATTGTGGTAGCTGTTGCTGTTTCTTGCTTTGACAGGAATGAGTCAACTCTTCRTGTCAGAGTTCAGTCACAGACTATACACCCAGGTGTGGAGTGTTGCACACACAGCTTCTGCTGCAGTTGCCATTTTGTCATCTTGGATGGAGTCTGTTCAGACCTCCTTTTCCTTTTTTATTCCTGCTTATTGTGCTTTAGAGTATTAACTGATAGTTGGAAAGGAGCATTTCCATTCATCATTTATGTGTCAGTGTTTCAGCAGTTTTTTCTTTGAACTGCATATATGTTGTCCTTAGGACCCGTTTGATACAGAGCATATGCGAACTTGTGGATGTCGTACTTGTTTCCTAAGAAAAGCTCAGAGGGCTCCATGCAGGATGGTCAGTGTTGTGACAGGTATTGAACTCAAGGCAGAGTAGGGATATTCTGGATGAGAGGAAGATGGCTGTGCTATCTGTCTCCCACTGAAGGTATGCGTTTCTGTACTGTAGAGCTGGGACACGGWATATTCTGGAGAGCTGTCCATCACTAGTGTTGGCCAGGAAGGGTCACCCAGGCGATGAGGGAGCAGATCCTATTGACACGCTAGATCTGGGAGGARGAGAACTGAAGTTCTGTATTTGCAGTTTGATGTGGCTGGCCTGGTGGTCTAGGAACACTTCCTGCATTTCATTAAACGCTATATATGAATTTGATACTCTTAGCAGGCACTATAACAGCTGGATGAGCTCTCTTGCATAGTAATAGTATTGTTTTAAAGCAAGTGCCAGATGTAGAGGCTTATTGCCCACACGCACTGATCTGTTCAGCTGCTAATATCAGCTTTCTACTCTCTTGTTCTGTCTGTAGCAYGATTTTCCCCCTTGCGTCCTCAGATATTACCCGCCTCAGCAAACTGGCGCCTTGACATTCTGAGGGCACGTTGTGCTGCTGATGGTCCCAGTTAAGTGACAGTTAGATTTGCCCACTTTCCCTTCCCATAATATGTGGGTTTACTTCTGTGCTGTGTCACATCCATAGAAATCTTCCCTGAGCTCACCGGAAAAATCCCTCACTGCTTCTGGGATGTTCATAACAAATCTGCAAGTTGTTGGATGGACTGTGAGTTTAACAGGGTGGTGCTCATCAGAGGTTTCACATTAAAATGCTGACAAGCTGGAGCTGTTGCATTGCACCTGTTGTGTTGGTCTTGCTGCTGTTGCAGCTGCCACCTCTGTCCCGCCTGTGTTCCTCCCTGCAAAGTCTGCATCTCTTTAGGAGCTGAGGTTCTGGAGAACATAACTGTGAGCGCTCCGGAGCAGTGGATTGTCTTCCTCAAGTATAACAACTGCCAGTGGTAATGGCCAATCAGGGCCTTGGAGCATTACTGYTATACATTTAATAAATTACAAACCAAATATATTTTAAGGCAATACAGATCATTTGAAGTTTCTGCTGCTCAATATGGGGCATTTGGGATTATCTGTTTGAGTCCATTTTGGGATGTGTTGGAAGAACCATTTATAGTTGCACTCTTCAGAAGAGAGTGTTTTGCACCGATGAGTGACAGTTCTTTATCATATTGTTCTCACCACAGTGCTTAAGCAAAATGTGTCAGAAGCATTTAATAGTTAAAAGGTTAGGTGTTTTCTGTTTCCTATACTAGCCTTAAAATTTCTCACTGCTACTAACATTTCCTGTGATCCACAGGAAAGATTAGATGTATTAGTGTAGCAATACTTGTAGTGTGCTCTATAGATTTATTTTGAACCTGTTTGCCATCAAGCTTTTCTGTACTAATGYTTCCACCTGGAACAGCAATGCTAGCAAATGTTGTCTGTTTTAAAAACACCTCTAAAAGCTATCAGATTTTCTTTCTGTGAGTGATGCATGTACATGTAAAAAAGCACAGCCGCTGTCCAACATGTTGACAGTCTAAATAAATCAAGAAATGAACCAGAGGGGATGGGGAAGAGAGACATGTCTGTTCTTAGATGAGACTCAGTAGATGGATTTGGTGTATTTTTTCAGGTTAGATTTGTGGTTGCTTTTTGTTGGTGGCGATTGTCTCTTRCAGGTATGTAGCTTTGACCTGAGATGTGCCTTTGTTTAGAACCAGTTCAGCATCCTCAGAGCAGTGAGATGTCCAGACAAAAAGGAATTCYATCTAGTCCTTCTTTTGAGGAAAGCATAACAGGAAAGCAGCAGAGTACAGGCTGATCAGCAGATCTTGTACTGAATGCCAGTTAGGAACATCATACTCTTAACATGAAAATGGGGGTGAAGCAGGATTTTGGGTGCAAGATATGAAAAGTCCAGTATGTGCAAGTAAACCTTTTTCTGGAGTGCCTGGTTCTGAATACTGAAAGTCATAAAGGATAAGAGRGTCCTGAAGATCCAGAGGGAGGTGTTGAGAATGATCATAGTCTAGGAAAAAAAAATCAGAAAAAGTGTGGATAGGCAAATCTTGTTTTTTCTCAAAAAGAAGACTGATGTGACACATGGTAAGTCTTCAGGGAAGTAAATAGTATATAATGGAGAGGAACAAATTTTTCTATTTCCATTGTGMGTGGGGCAGCAAGTACTAAGTTTAAGTAGAGGCAGAGGAAATCTAAATTAGTAATTAAGAGGAGCATTCCTTTCTAATATTCAGGATAGTCAGGCACTGGAATGGATGGCTAAAAGTAGTTGTRGAGTCTCCGGCATTAACAATACTTTTTAAAAAAACAGCTTGGAGAAGTAATGACCTGTACTATTGATTGAGCCTTTGGAGAAGAAAGGATTAGTGACTTCATGTGGTTTCCTTCTCAATCTTTTTTCTAGATGTGTTTCAAAAAATGTGCTAAAGTAATKCAGGAATATCCTGGAAAAATAGCAAAAATTTACAGTGTGGCTCTGCAAAAATGTATTGGTTTACATCCATTCCTGTTTTCCTTCCCATTTGGAATATTTTGATAGTTTAGGTAATGTAAAATATACTATAAGTTGAACTSTGCGTTATTCCTGTTTTTTGGTAAGTTTATTAGAAAGGTCATATGTAAAAAAAAGAAACTTGTATTAAAAGAAAAAAGGAGCCTGCATTCAGGCAACTATTGAGTTTTATAATTTCTCCAATAGTTCAAAAACATCTTTGATGTTTTTTATATCTTAAGCTAAAACAGTATTGCTTTGGTGGCAGCTCAGACCATCATATGTGAGTTATAAATTTATAAATATGAAAATAATTTGAGATTTCAGAAAAGCAATGCATTTATTTTAAGTGGCAAAGTTACTACAATCCAAATCTGTCATTGACTGGAAAAGCTAACAAAGGCTGAAAAATGCRTTTGAATAAAAACCCTTAACCATCTGGTGTTGTTTATGTCTTGCAACTGTGTTGTACTGGTCATCACTTAGTCCACATGATCTGCATATGATTGTTCAGAGGTTTTTGTTTGTCTTGCTTTATAGATGACTTTGATGAGCTTGTGGTGAGTAACAATGATGTTGTGCTCAGAAATATCGCTGAAGATTTGAGGAATCGCTTACCCATGGAGGCAATGTTTACTTCAGAACATCAAGCTGTTCAGAAAGTAAGAGAATTGTTATKGTCTGCTTTTGCTGAACTGCAGAATTTAGTCTGATTTCATTTTTAGCAGTAGTTCACAATAGAGAATGAGTATGGATTGAAGTATAGAAAATCTAGCTTGGTTCTCAGGTCTGTTGCTCAGTGTTTGCATGACTCCAAGAAAGTTGCTTCGTAGTTTTTAATACTTYGATCATAAGTTATTTGGCRTAGTTTTCATTCTGTGTGGTATGGCACCTGTCACAGTGATTCTTTAATGCTAGCTCCATAATAGACTCTAACAGCCCACTTAAAGAAAACGAATACAGAACCAATGTTTTGCTTTTGCTGCAATGTGGGCAGCCCAGAGATGATATCCAGCTCTTTTCATATTCTGATGGCTTGGAAAGAGGTGGGCTGTGAGTCCTGTGGGAGGGGAGTACACCTTTTCGACTTGAGCTGTCAATATACAAGGAAAGTTAATGCATTTCCCAGAAAAGTGATGTGTGGCTTTTCAGTGGGAAAAGAGGATTGGCCACWTGCAGCAAGCCTGGAAAAGGGAGAAAAGATGAGTAGGAGGATGAAGATTATACCCCTTGAAATGATGAGAAGGCAAGCATCCCAACTGGTACGCTTTTGATTGAAAGTGACACCCATGTTAATCAGAGGTGCTTCTAGATAGAGGCCTAAGGCATGAAGAAGAAAATAGTTGAGGCTGAGAAGCAAAATTGACTTTTCTCCTCAATTTAAGTTACATTCTAATTAAAAGAAGAGGAAAAGCTTCCTTGACCCTGTATCTTCWCTATAGCCAAGCAAGCAGTAAGGAGACATCAGGTTGACATCAGGTCCCCTAGTCAGTTATGAAAACCAGATTGCTTTTTGTTTGTTGACTGTCTTTTAATGTTTATTTCAGTGGAGTTTGATGATCCAGTTTACAAGCAGGATTTCTGTTGTTTAGTTTTGCTTTCTAATTGTTGTTTTGAGGGTTTTGGAAAGGTGGGATGGTGGGACAGTTAAGACATGTTGACAGTGTAAGTGCAGTTAAGAGGCTTGGTTAAGCCTTTCTAAGGTTTTGTTCCTCTTCTCAGATACACCAGCATCCACTGCCCATGATTCATGTTGATGCATTCCTTTATGATGATGATGYTGTTGATTCATTGTGTGAGGAGGGGAAAATGAGTAGGAGCTACTGCACAGAGTGTGGCTCTTACAAAACTGCCTCTTTAGGTAAGTGTTCTTTCAGGAACAAGAGAAGCAAATTGAGTTTAACTAAACTGGTTTGTGCAGTGACTCAGCTGGACAAGACAAMATCCAGCTGATGGAGGACTTTGTCCAGACTGGTGCAATGCACAGCCCAGAATTATTTCCCATAACCAATGGAAGGAGACTCCTACACATGTAAGTTGAATTCATTTGCTTTGTATGAGGGACTGGAGTTGCCCACAAAAACTGGGCAGGTAAGAGGCAGGCTGTGTACCACTGGAGAGGAAGATGCACRAAGAAGACAATACTGTAGGAGTCCATGCAGTAGCCTTGGTCTTCTCTCACTCTGAAAAATGGTTGAAAGCACCATCTGTCTTAAAGCTTGTGTGTGGTGTGGTACAGATCAGTGCTGTTGTCAGTATAGCACAGCCATTGAAGGAATGGTTTATATGGAGAACATCCAATTCATTAAAACCTTGGAGTTGAAATTAAAGCTTTTAATATATCTGCCCATAAAATGTTTTGCTCAAATTCAGTTGAGCCTTAGGTACCACATTTCCTTTTTCAGTTAAACAGTTCCAAGTTGCTTTGTTTTGGATTCTTTARTATACATTACTATGCAGAAAAAGATAATTCAGTTTCATGAAGGACTTCAAAATTCTCCACATAAGGCAAGGAATCCCCAGACTTGGGACAGACTGCTTGGCAGATTACCTCTGGTYTGGAAACCCTGGTGTTCCAGGGTGYCCAGCACTAGTGCAGGCAGGAAACCATAGTGGTTTTCCGTGAAGATAGCTCTTCAGGTTGTTATTTCAGTGGTTGATAACACATTAGTTAGTACTGCCCACCCAACACCTTTGTTCTGTTCTTATTTCCCAGAGTTTATTTCGCATTCCTTTTCCCTCATGGAACTGAAGTTTCTTTATCAACATGTACTGCCTGACCTGACAGGAAAGGTAGTGGTTGACGTTGGCTCCAGGCTTGGTGCAGTGCTATTTGCGGTAACTTCCAGCACAGGAATTCATATTTTATTACTGTGACAAACATTTTCCCTCTTTTCTGACTGCCTACTCTCATTGCTCGATCTTGGATAGGTCATTTTGAGAGGCACCTCTGATCTGACTTTCTGAATAGTGTAAGGTGCTGTTTACTAGCAATTTCAGTTCTTCCTCTGTTCCTCGCAAGAGAGAATACAAATGATCTTGCTTATGGAGAGGAAAAGTCTGTTGTCCAACAGAGTAGCAGATTGCTGTCACACATGCTGCTCTTTTGCTAGTTCCTGCTGTCTCTTTCATAAGTTTGTCYTCTTATGTCTTGACCATGCCTATATATAGATTAGCTATGTTAAATTCCTTTATGAAGCTGACAAACTGTTAAATTATACAAAGGAAGACTTTGATATGAATTTGTCTCCAAAAACATATTGTCCTGCTCTGTGTTTTAAAATGCACATAAAATACTTCATCGAGAAACTTGAGTGCAATTTTGATTGCTTTTGGCATGGCTGGTGCAACATATGGCCAACAGCAACGCAAAACACACATTACTACTTTCTTTAAAAAGTCAATGGCTGTTYAGGGCTCAATTTTGGAAACATCGAGCATGTGATTCTACTCATTTGAATGGTCTAATTTTGGGACTRCTCAAATGAGAAAAGTTACTCCCATTTGTAAATATTTGCAACATTGGGTCCTTAAATRGTAACATTTTTGCTGTATTTGTTTCGAAGTAGTTAAATACTTGTATTATTATAATAGAAGATATTCTCACAGCACTCTTTTAAAAAAGAGTTCTGCTTTGTAACATGTTCTTGCTTTGGAGGAGGAGTAATTTCATCTTCAAGGGTTGTTTTTCTTCTCTCTGAATTGAATCGTTTTGGAAAACATTAAATATTAAGTTGTAATACATGTGTATCTCTGATAGATATTCTGTATCTTCAGCGTGATTTGTCTTTGCCATTGCTGGCAAAATGTRATTATTGTGCTCAATTGAGACTGTGGCACTTAAAGCAGTGTGTTTGTTYGGGCCCTGTACCCTGAAGTATTGGTACTTTTTTTT